ATTGATTCATCTGAAATTCTATTAGATTAACACAAGTAAGTGTTTCTTATATTTTCATATTTTGTCAAAATATATAATTTATAGGTTGCCATATCTGAGTGAAGTAATCTATCCTAAAAATTTAGATAAAATACTAATTGTTCGATTTTAAATGGCGTTACATATCTTGTTTAAAAATCTTGTAAAAATATAAATTATCAAACGTTTCAATAGACTAAACTCCTTAATGTTTCAAATTATTTTTAATCTCATCCACAATAATATCACAATCATTATGTTTACCTGTTATAAAATCAGCTACTACCTAAAATATAGCTTAATTTAACGATTATACGCCGAGATTATTATATTGTTGCTCACGGTTGTAACTTCGATGGTAGTATAATTATACACATGTGCGTATCGTGCACGTAACCATGTGTAAAGTACTACTATGAAAATATGAATACAGTAAGTATTATTGTTAAGTTTTATAATTAAACAGGCGTAAATATACTATAAATACAATGGTCGCATTATGTAGTTGTATGCGTACAAACATGCAGTCCGACGTCTCACGTATTATGTTACAAAAGTACTTGTAATGTCCAGGGTCGTCCCAAAGATGAAAATCATTAGGGGGAGTGAATAATACGAAAAATGTCAACTACAATTTTTTACTCAATGTATGAAGTATAATTAACTATATGTGGTCGTATTTTTAATTTTTAACATATATATATGTTTCAGTGTCGCACGTTCTTAAAATTTACAGTTTAATTATATATATATATATATATATATATAATAATATTTTATATTGTATAGCAAGAAGGTAGTTACATAAATTTTATTCGTGTATACACTGTACTACGAAATATGTAATATTTGTTTTCCGTAAGTAAAATTAGGTCCTTCTAGGCTATAATAAAACAAGTCCGACTGCCGACTGGTGTTTTCGTTGGATGGATGAGACCATAGGCGCACATAAGGGAGCACTCGGGGGTGCTTAGCACCTCCTTATTTCAAATTAGCACCCCCAGTTTCCTAGAATATTTACCTATTTCAGTATTTCATCAATAAATTGTAAATTATTGTGGTTTATTGGGTTGGACATTTTTTTTCCACTATAGACAATAATATATAATTTAGTTGTCGAATACATGATTAAAACAGTATTCAATAATTGCACGTTTTACTGTTCCAGTTTTTGTCTAACTATTAAACTATAAACAGCAATCAAAATATTATAGAAAATCATATTATTTTACTTAATATTCTTATATTACCTACAGTTTACAGTTGGCTACGAAGTTATGTTCTATTTATAAATTTGATTATTACTTGGTTTTTAGTAATATTTAACCAGTGGGCTACGCAGAATTGTATGCGGAATGACAAATATTATTACCAATCATACAAACGATATGATTCATTACTATTTACATTTTAAATACTAGTTCATATTTTTGATATATCAGGTTATTTTGAATATATCGACAGTTAGTTTATCAGCAGAAATGCTGGTCTCAAAGATTAGTCTTATATATAAGATTATTCATATAGTAGTAAACTAATAAATAAAAATTATACTATTTAATACGAATAATATTATACGTTTTAAATTTAATAAATAAAAAAATATATGAATAATTCAATTTTACATAATGTTGAAACTCAAAGGCGTACCCAAGGGGGAGTTTTCGGGTTCGGACCCCCTATTGAAATTTCTACATACTCTACGGATTAATAGTAAATAGTATAATAAAAGTATATAGTGTATTTTAATTTCATATTATCTTCAATATACAAAGTTTATAGATTATATAATATACCTATAATATATAAACCATACTATAGTATATTAACAGTTATTTGTTGGTATTGAGTTAAATTATAATTATAATTAGAAAACAGATAAAATAAAAATTTTGGACCAACACCCCCCCCCATAAAAAATTCCTAGTTGCTAGAAACCTGAAATTTCGAATCAGTGTCGGATTAACGAATATGCTACCTAAGAGCTGATTTTAAAATGCCGCCCTTTATTTTTTTAAATCTATATTATCATGGTACCCATTATAAAAAAATATATATATGAATAAAAATAGCGATAAAATTGTTATTTGATCTATATTTATAAACATGTTGTAACATCGGTAGTTCTACATATTATATCTAAAACGTTTAAAGATTTGTTCCCTCCATTTTGAACCACTTTATATAATATATGACGAAGAAGTAATTGACGATAATGAACGTAAAAATTTTGAATTATTCCTCGATTTAGTGGTTGGAAAATTGAAGTTATAATTGGTAGGAATATTAGTTATATTACATTAGTTATATAATATTATATTTTTTAAATTTAATGTGATATACATACATATACATACATATATGTTTGTTACGGGCAGTTTACATTGTCTGGTCTATGCATACTTTGCTCGGTATTTTTGGACAATACATTAAAAATACTATTTTTGTCAGTCAGCGTTATATATACAACCCGAGTAACCCAAGTGACTATTTGGTTAAATTAACCAAGTAACTGCTCACTTACCACGTTAAAAGTTCTAAAATGTTCTCTACCAATCATTTCATACCATATCCACGATAAGCAATGATTTAGATTCATGATCGAGAAAGTTCAATGAGCAATGAGTGTTTTCGTTACATTTACAGATAAACGAAAATTAACGCGATTCACTGTTGTTAAACATGTTGTTTAAAATCTGAAAACGTGCCGAAGAATTTAACTGAATGCAAGAAAAGTCTTGGACAAAATATTTTATGAAGTAGTCCACCAACTTGGATTGGCCAAAAGAGGTGATTGCCGCATTAGTAAAGAAAATATCGACGGTCGACTACTCGCCGCAGGATCCTGGTGAAGGGTAAAAGTGTGCGAAAAATGTTGCGACTTGTGACTCTTCGAAAGTTGCAGTTCCCGTTGGACCAATTGTCTCACTACTTACAATGACGGCAGACGTTTCAGCAAGTGACGACCCGTAAATAGTGTTCGACGGACGATTAAAAAACAAGAAGAAAAATTGTAAATAAAAAATGGTAACCCGTCATAACCGCGAATCCAAAAAAGCGAATATCAAAATAGCTAAGTATAAAATAGCTAAAAGCCATAATAGCGAATGTTCAAAACAGCTGAAGTATATTATTTTAAAATTATTACTCTTATTATTTATCTGTAGTTATCTGTAGTATTACGTTATAAAGATGCAGATAATGACAATCAGTTTTATAGCTGGATTATCCAATATTATTGTCCGGTTGGACCAGATATCTGTATATATAAAACAGTAAGCTGATTGACTGCTATCAACGCACAGCTCAAACCATTGGACGGATCTGGCTGAAATTTGGCATACAGATAGCTATTATGATGTAGACGTGCGCTAAGAAAGGATTTTTTGATATTTTGAATTTAAAGGGTTGAAATCGATTTAATATTTTTTGATCAGGTCGATAACTGCGCTATTGAAAATTAATTATATTAAATAAAACTATTAAAAAATTATTAAAAAACTATTAAAAACTATTTAAAAACTATTAATTTTATTTTTGGTAGTAAATGACGGGTATTGCATAAATATTAAACAAAAAGATCCCGCAACAGGTGCCAAAACAAATAAGAATGTTAGTTCAAAAAATTATTATGCATATCGGTTGATGATTAGACGCAATCAGGACTAAGTTATTTTACGATGCATAAGCTTTGTCAACAATTCATGGTCGAAATATATATAAAGATAGATAGCGAATGATTTCGATATTTCGATTTCGATTCAATCAAAAAAAGCTGCGTGCAAAAGATTCTCAAAACAATTGTTAGATATTGGAGATGGGAAAGTTACTACAGATGAAACGGGATGTATAAAATTACCGAACGATTTCTGCACAATCATTTATTCGCAAGATGCTCTCATTGACCAGATATGTCCCAGTGTACACAGACAATACACAAATCATGAGTGGCTGGCAGAAAGAGCAATTTTAGTAGCAAAAAATGTGGAGGTCAACGAAATGAATCTCAAAATACAAAATTTGTTACCAGAAAACTTGGTGTCATACAAATCTAGATACAGTTTGCGATGCTACTGAAGTTGTAAATTATCCAACAGAGTTTTTAAACTCATTGGATTTATTAGGCATGCCACCGCATAATTTACAATTGATCATTACAATTTACCATCGATAAAATACCTCCTTCAGAGTCATTTAAAGTTGTAATACATGCAGATAAAAAACCACCAGAAGAACATAGAGGCAGGTATAATGCACCAACGGCAAATGAAGTTGCTTTAGTGTTAGTAGATCAGCAGTTTGATCGAAGAGACATCATCCTCGAAAACCGAAGTAATTTACTTCACCATATCAGTGAGATACATCAAACATACGACGCACTGCAGTATCCTTTAATGTTTTGTTGAGGGGATGATGGGTATGCAATCAATATACCACAACGCGATCCAAAAACCAAGTTACCGCTTAAAAAAACTGTCTCTGCATCAAGTTTTTACTCATATAGAATAATGGTCAGAGAAGGGGAAGACAACTATTTAGTTAATTATCGTTCTCTTTTCAGTCAATATTTGGTAGATGAATACGCCAAAATTGAAACTGAAAGACTAAATTACATCAAAAACAACCAAGCCAAATTGCGTGCAGATAGTTATATTCATTTAAAAGATGCGATTGGACGACGAGACATAGAAGCTAATCAGTTAGGCCAAATGGTTATACTCCAGTCAACTTTTACTGGTGGGCCAAGGTACATGCACGAAAGAATACAAGATGCTATGACCTACGTTACACATTACGGTCGTCCTGACCTTTTTATTACTTTTACATGTAATCCTCGCTGGGACGAGATAAAAGAGCTCTTACTTCTCGGTCAAAGATTATATGATCGACATGATATAATTGCAAGAGTGTTTCGGTTAAAAGTCAAAAAGAGCATGAACTTATTGACAAAAGGTAAAATATTCGGAGAAGTGAGATGCTATATGTATTCAACAGAATGGCAAAAGAGAGGTGTACCACATATTGATATTCTTTTATGGCTACAGCATCACATTACTCCGGATCAAATCGACAATGTTATTTGTGCTGAAATACCCGATCTCATACGTGACCCTCAGCTTCACGAAATCGTTAAATATAATATGATTCATGGCCCTTGTGACTGTTTTAATCGAAATTCACCATGTATGAAAAATAACGCGTGCAGTAAACATTACCCCAAGATCTCATTAAGGAAACTCAAACTGGTGATGACGGTTATCCGAAGTACAAGAGACGGTCAACCGTGGATTTTCCGTCAATATCAAAGGTGTAAATATAGATAATCGTTGGATAGTTCCTTATAATCCATTACTGTTAAGAACATGTAACGCTCACGTCAATGTGGAATATTGCAGTTCGGTGAAGTCCATAAAATATGTGTGCAAATACGTAAATAAGGGCTCGGATCAGGCTTCATTTGCCTTAGAAAATGAGAAAGACGAAATAAAAACTTACGAAAGTGGACGATATATAAGTTCATCAGAAGCCGTGTGGCGAATCCTTGAATTTCCAATTCATGAGCGTTTCCCTACCGTTGTTCACTTTGCTGTCCATTTAGAAAATGGACAAAGGGTTTACTTTAATGAACAAAACCTACATGACAGAGTGAATAGTCCTCCTACAACTACACTTCTCTCATTTTTTAATTTGTGTAAAGTGGATGACTTTGCAAAAAATTTGCTTTACCCAGAAGTACCTGCATATTACGTTTGGGACAAAAAAAAGTTCCAAAGAAGGTAGAGAGGAGTTAACGTTGTTGGCTGGCCAGATATCAAAAGAGAGCACGCTCTGGGTAGAGTTTATACGGTTCATCCAAACAATACAGAATGTTATCACCTTCGTATGCTTCTCCATGAAATCCGGGGCCCGATTTCGTTTGAAGCGTTGAAAACTGTAAATGGTCAAGTATATCCCACTTTTAAATCCACGTGTAAGGCTCTAGGGTTACTTGAAGATGATGAACATTTGTACGCAGCACTAGAAGAGGCAGTACTTTGCTAATCTCCGCATATGATACGGGATCTATTTACGATTATATTAGTGTTCTGCCAAGTAACAGATCCCTTATATCTTTGGGATAAATTCAAAGAATACCTATCTGAAGATTTTAAAATACGATTAGAACGACAGGATTCCGTGGATGCAGAACACTTAGCGGACGTAGCGTTGAACAAATGCTTATCGGTAATAGAAGATTCCGTGTTAGCATTAGGTGGTCAGCCACTTAAAGAATATGGCTTACCTCAGCCAAGCAAATCTGAACAATTTTATAATAGAGAGTATCTCAAGGAAACAAGTTATGACTTAGTAACCTTAGAAGACGTCGTAAGAAACAATGAAGAATCTCTGAATGACGAACAAAAGTTTGCTTACAATCAAATTATTACAAGTGTTAATAATAATGAGGGTTGAATATACTTTTTTAGATGCTCCAGGTGGAACTGGAAAAACTTTCTTAATCAATTTGATTTTAGCGAAAGTTAGAAGTACTCGCGACATTGCCTTAGCTGTAGTATCTTCTTGAATGGCAGCAACACTGCTCGAGGGTGGTCGAACGGCCCATGCTACCTACCTAACCTACCTTCAAATTACGACTCAATCTAAAAACATCGGCCACTCCCTTTTGTAATATATCAAATCAAAGTAATTTTGCGGAAGTTTTAAAAGATACAAAATTAATAGTGTGGGACGAAATTACAATGGCGCATAAGGGTGGCGTTGAGGCTTTAAATAGATCTCTAAAGGATATAAGGGAAAATAAAAGGTTAATGGGTGGTGTAACGGTTTTACTGGCTGGAGACTTTAGGCAGACTCTACCAGTAGTACCAAAAGGGACCAGAACTGATGAAGTCAAGTCATGTCTTAAAAGATCCACTTTATGGACTAAGATTAATATACTCAAACTGTCAAAAAATATGAGGGTACACTTGGGAGAGGAAAAGTTTGCTGGTGGATTTTCAGATCTTTTACTTGAAATTGGCAATGGTGATTATTCATCGTTTGATGAAATGATAACTATCCCAGAAAATTTGTGTACAATTGTAACTACGGTTCAGGATTTAATATCAAAAATTTATCCAGATATTGCTCTTATTCATGATAAGCCTATGGAATGGTTGTGTGAACGTGCTATACTCACTCCAAAAAATGACCAAGCGGCGGCTATCAATGATACACTGCTGATGTCTTTTGAAGGGGAAGAAAAAGTATATACTTCTATAGACACGGTGGTCAACATGGACGATGCAACTTATTATCCGGTTGAATTTTTAAATTCATTGAAACCACCGGGCATGCCATATCATAGGCTTATTCTGCGTATGGGCACACCTATTATGTTGTTGCGAAATTTGAAACCGCCTAAACTGTGCAATAGGACCAGGCTTAAAGTCAAAGCTTTACATCGCAATATAGTAGAAACCACAATTTCAACAGAATGTGCAAAAGGGGAAACTGTGTTTGTACCATGAATCCTTTTAATTCCGAATGATCATCCGTTCGAATTTAAACGATTATAGTTTCCCCTGAAAGTCTGTTTTGCAATGACTATAAACAAGTCTCAAGGCCAAACTCTTAAATTTGCAGGAATAGATTTGGAAGAAAACTGTTTTTCATATGGGCAGTTCTACGTAGCTTGCTCACGCGTAAGTTCACCCAGTAGCTTGGTGATTTTGTCGCCTACTAATAAATCAGTGAAGAACATTGTCTACAAAAAAGTTTTGTAGATAACATATTGAAAAACTATTAGTAAAACATTTATTTTGAACCATTAGTGCTAAAATTTATCGTGAACAAAGCTTCTGCCGCCAAAAGCTATAACTTATCGAATAGGTTATGATAATAATCATTATCTTAAAAACTAAATTAATATGTATAAAATATTATTTCAAAAATCTTAATTAATTTAAATTTCAATAGATTTAACAAAATTTAATCTTGGCAGGTTACATACATTCAGTGGCGCCGAAGTACAAAATTACATGTATGGCATTGACCTCCGACCACCACTTAATAAATTTGAAACCTGTCAAACAATTTTCCATCCACTTTTATTTTTGATAAACTCTCTTATATTTTCCAACTAATTCGTATGTAAATTTTAACATAAATATAAAATATAATTATATTTAATTATCTGCTAATTGCTATGATACCTACTACAAAATACAAACAAAATGTCAAAACGCAACCTTTTATATTATATTATATACAATATTAATAATAATTATGTCCTTTCGTAACAATATTATTATAAGTATTAAATATTTATTAATAAATCAAACATTTAGTTAGAACACTACTTTTAGCTGCAAATAACAAAATTACATTTTCATTATTAATAATTATATCTTGCTCACATGATATTTTCATTAAACTATCGAGACGATCTTGTGACATAGTTGTTCTTAACTTTGTTTTTATAAGTTTTAATTTAGAAAAAGTTCGCTCTACGCTACAGCTTGTCACAGGTAATGTGATAGATAATTTTAAAACTAAATATAAATTTGGAAAAATATTAGCTAATTTAGCCAAACAAAATAGTTTAAATAATTCCCTCGTACTTGCTATGTTATGATAAACAACTTTTGCAGAATCTTCTTCCGCACTATCATAACTATATGCGTTTAACTCTAGTGAATCTTCATAATCTTCAACTATTAAATTGTTGTTAAGATACTTAGGAAGTAAAATACTGTTTTCTATTTCAGTAAAATTTTTACAAAATTCAATATATTCTGTCAATAATGAGTTTTTATCGATTTGTGAGTACATGGTACACAAAGCGTCAAAGGCATCACAAGGTACAATGTGTGGATTATTTTGAACTTCTCGAATACGTCTAAATGAAAGAAGGGATAAGTCTTTTAGAGATCCTATATTGGTGCTTTCAAAACGTCCACTTAACTCTGCTAAAAGAATATCCATTATGACATTGTATGTATCAATTCTAAATTTTTTCATGGGACATGATATAATTTCATCCTGACAATATTCACCTGAAATTAATATTACATTTTGAAATTAAGAACAATCATACTTTCTTAATAAATTTAATTAATAATTGATATTTATTATGAAAATTATATACACCTGATTTTCTTGGAACACGTTTGGGTCGACTAGATACAAGAGGTAAAAAGTCAACAATACTATTTTCAGCAAACTCATCAGTCCTTTTTAGTAATCTTTTAAACGAATCAGCATTTCTAAGTTCTTTGATTTGATGAATCACATTATTTAAAATATTTGTGGCCATAAGCATATCCATATCTTGGGACTGCAATTGGCGGGTGACAGGTTCAAGTATTTGAAATATAGTTTTGAATAATAATGCTGTTAGAAGAAAACGTTGGGATGTAAGGTATGATATCAAACCACTACAACTCGCACCAACTACTACATCAGCAGATCCTTCAGAATCTTTAATTTTATTTAATGTTTTTAAAACTGCATTGTGGAATTTTAAAACTACATATAATGCTGCCGCATGAGAACTCCAACGTGTTGTACTTACTCTCTTAACAGCATGCAATGGATTATTTTTACCTTCCATATTACCACATTCAATTTGAATTTCTCTGAAAATCGTTGCTCTTTTTTTTGAACACCAAAGAAAAACATAGAGAGTTTCTAAATTGCCAAATAAATCAACTGC